AAGGAAATGTTAGTTTCACTTAAGTCAATAGATAACATATTACGAAGAGAGATGAGAGATAAAAAAGCTAAATGTATAGATTACAAATTTTAGATAATGTGACATCTTGAGATCTTCTTATTTAATTTATTTTAATAATGAGAAAATTATTAGAAAATAATTTACCAGCGAAAGTTATGATATTATAAAATTTTCGCCAGACCCACTTATCCAAAACCATAACCCAATCGATTTGCCCACACCCTATTTATCGGTAAACATATATTAGGGGAGAGAAACTTTGCCCGAAGTTGTTACAAATCTTTCGCTTAAGTACTTCATAAATATCTTAAATGAGTTTCCTTTTGTTCCAGTTTTTATAGGCTGACCCCCGACCCCGGCCAGCCATAGTTATGATTATTGTTTTTCTTTTTTCGTATTTTTTTCGGTGAGTCCCTGCAACGTTGTGTGGCCGCGTTGAAGGCATTCGCTTAAATCATTCCGTGGCACTATCGGCACAAAAATCAAATGCCTTCGTTTAAACGAGCGATAAGGCAAATGCCTTCGAAAAGGACCTGCGGTCCCGGGGAAATTCACGCAATTAGTTTGTTATTGTTGTGGACGTCGAAAAGGCGTCCGAAGTTAACTTCAGTCGCGACTCACCTCATTAACAATAATTTCGCTTTAATAAATAACGCTAAAACATGCGCTAAATAACATTTTTAGGCTGGTCCCCAAAAGGAAACTGCGGGGGTGTACAAGCTGCACAGAGAGAAATTACCAGATATTTTGAAGAAAAAAAATATTTTGATTAAACGATTATATTAGTAAAACAAGATTTTTATTAGCATATGGTTGTTCATATTTTGAAAGTTTATTGATTGCAGCGATTCTTAAATATTTATATATTTTGTGGATAATAAAATCTCAATGGCATGTCCATTTTTTTTTTGAGATTCCTATTTAAAATTTTCATAACCAATAATAAATAACATTTGCATTCCACTCTCAAAAGTTTAATGACTGCCGAGAATTTTTCTAAGATATTTAGATCTTTTATGGATAAAATCATACCATTTCTTTCAAGTGTATTCCGCCTTTGCTGGGCGTTGAAATTAATGTGCCGCCGGCCAGGGCGACACTAATTTGCCTGTGAACATGTCAAATCAGCCTCAAAGTAAATTTTACGCCAGCGTTCAGCGTTCATGTCCGAGGTTTCCCAAGTTTTCCCGCTCGCACGGCGGGCACTTAATGAAAAGGTCCTTAAGTGCTTTCCAACGGTATTTTGTTTCCGTTTGTACTTTTTCTCTGACGTCGCCGTCGCTTGTCGTTGATTTGTTATTGTTGCCACAGTCGAGCATAAATCATCTATATAGTACACCCAGCAGTACGGACTCCATGGTTTCAGGACCCGGGACCACTTGACTCTCGGTGGTGGTGGTGGTGGTGGTTTTGGTTGGTCTTGGTGGATTTTTGGCGGCTCAAGTGGCTCGTGTGGTGCAAATCGGAGTGCCATGGGAAGTGATTAAAGTCATTTAACCCACTCTGCGCGCACGAGGCGGTCTGAAATTAATTTCTAATTGCGCACAAATGTAGGCAATGTGAGTCATAGTTCGTGGGCATTCGGGGGGTTAAGGACACACTGTTCCCACCGTCCAAGTTTTGGTCCTAATGAGTCTCAAAATTAGTGATCGAAGTTGGGCTCGAAACAAGGGAAAGCCAAAGAAAAAATGATATTTATATATCATAGTTAAGAACTTATTAATATGTGTAATAAAGCATTTTATAACAATTTTCTTCATTTTAAAAAGTACATTTTTTATTACCACCATGGTAATCTTAATCTTAGTGTCTTAACTTTGTTGGTAATAGTACATTTGGTTTTTAAATGTTATATATGCATATATTTTGGCACAGATAAATTACTTTAAATTTTAAAAAAGAAACCAACTTGTCCTTATACCTCTAATAACCGTGACTAAATTCCCTAGCCGAAATCCAAAACAAGATATTTCTTTGATTAATAGACCGCCCGAATTTGTGTGCGTGGCTCTGGCGAAAGGGTTAAGGGTAGGGCAGCCAAAGAGCAGCCCCCTTTAACCCCCAACTGCCGTTGCATATGCTAATTGAGCTATAAAAATACTTTGTGCCCGAAAAGGGCAAAAAAAAGAAGCAAAATAACACACAAACATGGTCATAAAGAGTAGGCGGGGGCGACCACTCCCTTTTAGAGCCCTTAACCCCCCCCGAAACCTTAACCCATGGCCTCTCACCGCCGCACAGAAAATCCCGACGCTCTTTCGCAGATTTTCTTGGCCCAAACAAAGGGCAACTAAGTCTGATAAAGCTGGGGGGAGCTGAGGTTGCAGGACCCATGCGTGATGCTTTCACATAAAAATTATGGCATTCAAGCCAAATGGGGCTTAGGATGAAGAAGCCGAAGCCCTGTCCCTGTCCCTGGCCCACATGGGTTAAGGCGTCCTGGAGCCTGGCGTTAGAAACATGATTTTTATTTTACGCAACTTAAGTGCGAACAATAAAAACGATTTGAGGCAGATTATGTGCTGCCTCTCATAATGCAAATTAGTCATGGCCAACGCATATGCAAACGCACCCCCGCCCTTAACCCTCGGCTGGGCCGCCTTAACCCCCCCTCGCCCGAGCCGGCGTTTGTTTGCCCTGGCATTTGTTTAGATTTATGAGTGTCAGCCGCATTATGACCAACCACTTGACTTCCTGCCACGTGTGTGTGTGTGTGCGACATTTTATGCCCCGCACGTTCTCGACCCCCTGTCACCCTTAACCCCTCAGCTCCTCATCTGCCCCAGCCCTTAACCCCCTGCAGCCCCCAGTCGTGTGTCTCCGGAGCCAACGTCTCGTCATCAGTATTTATAGTTGCCCATGCCAATGGTTTACTTTCCCACTGCCTTCTGGTTATTAGTTACTATTTGCTAGTCCCACACGGCGCATACGCAACTTCCGGACATATTTTACCGACTGTTTATTTAATACCTTTGTTTGTTTAGTATGCAATTAGCCGGGCTTTATGGTGTTTAGCTAGCGGGTGCAGGCAATATAGACTTATTTATTGGGTAATTCGATTGTAAGGACTTTGATAAGTACAATAAGAATATTAGATAAACAAAGTAAAATATTTTGTAATGGTTAAGCCAATTTAATTTATTTTTCAATACTTTCTTAACTTATTTAGACCTAGCTATTGAGTAATTCGATTGTAAAGACTTTGTTAAGTACAATAAAATGGTATGTGTTATACATTTTGAATAAAATAAATAAAAAAAACATTTAATTTCATAAAGGCTTAGCAAATTATTATATACAAAATAAACAAACCAATTGAAATCTCTATTCGTTCGTTATTTTCTTAAGTTTTGATTTGTTTATCCTATCCAATAGTTACTTTTACCCACTGATTGCTTATTAAGTTATCTTAATATTATTTTATGTGTGCTCTTCTTATTTCTGCACACTTCATTAATTGCGGGTTACTCGCAATTTATTCAGGCTCATAAAATAAACATAAAGCCCACATGTGAGCCATGCCTTTCCTTTTATCTAAATGTCTGTTGGATATCCTTTTTCCTTAGATGTTTTGCCTGGGATGTTCTTTTTTAATTGAATTTGGCAGCTAACTGAATTTTCGGTGTCGCAACTTTGTCGCATCGAAATCTTCTAGCTCATCAACTTTTCGAGCCATATCCTTGCCATGCAAATACATATATATATCAGCTTATATCCTGCCAATTACGAGCGCAAATTTGACAACAAAGCCAAATTATATTAACATATAAATTGCACAAAGTGCCGCTGATTTAGTTTCATAGAATGGGGCCAAAAAGAGGGAAAGAGACAGAGAGAGAGAGAGTGAGAGAAAGAGACGGGTTGAGGCAGACTTTGCCAGTTTGTTTTTACGTCTTTGTCGTCATTTACGTTTATTATTCCGATTTTCTAGCGCAGAAAAATAACACTTATGTGCCAGAAATATGTAAATGCGGGCTGGCAAAAGTTTATCGTGGATGTTCGGGGGATTTTCACGCACGCAGCAACCACCCACTGAGCCCACTGAGCCCACCAACCACCCACCGGCCTTCACCCACCGCCCTCCCACTTTTCGTCCTTTTTGCCACCGTCAACAATGAGAGCGCCATCTCGCTTTAGCGCACATTTCCGGCATTTGGCCAAAGTCTGCTGCTTTTAGCCCCCCCCCCCCCCCCCTCGCCACTTTCTTGGCCACCATCTAGTGCCTAAGACCGTCTCTTTCCCGCCCGCTATGCCCCTCTCTTTCTGAGGGCTTTTAGCCTCCTTTCACATACAATTTACTGCCATTTCAAAGCTAAACATTTACGCTCTCTTTCGCCCTTTGCCGTCTCTGTCTCTTTTTATGGGGCACAAAATGTCGTCGACGGGAAATTGATATTTCTGGCGTTTTTTGGCACACATAATCCCGGCATATATAATCGGAGGAGATGGTACAGTGGGGCCTCGTGGTATAGTTCTGAAGAGGAGTCTTGGAATAAAGTAATTTCAAAATGCTGTGATATTTTCCTACAACTATTTGTACCATGTGTATTTAATATTATTTTCCAAGTTCGCTTATTTGGAAATATAACGATAAACAATATTTTTAAATACCACTTCGTCTTGTTTGGAATATATATTTAAATTGACTTTCAAAATATTGTAATATATTTTCAAATTTCATGTTTTTCTTTTAGCTAAGCTTGACTATCTGCCAAAACTCGCATAAAATTTGGTTTAGAAACGAATTGACTTCCCTTCCCTTTTCATGTTTTTTCCTGAAAGGGTTATGGTGCCCCCTTGTTCCTGCTTTATTATTACATTTTTTCTTTTTTTTAAATGCGCGGAAATTGTTAATTTTACGGCCAGCCATATCCGCAGCTTCCCCGCATCCTGGAGTCCCATTTCCAGGGCCATTTCCATCGCCATCTCCATATCAAACTCCATCTCCAACTCCATTTCCAGCTGCCGGCGCTTCCAAAATGGCCGCCTCGCGGACAAAGCGTGACCCAAACGGACTGGAAGTGGAAGTTGGGGTCCACCAACCGAGTGGGGGTCCACCAACCAAGCTGGAAGAAGTAAATGCACCAATCGCATTATGGTCCTCCAACGTTTTGGCCCCAAATTGCCAATTGGCAATTGCAGTTGGCCCGCAGTGCGGATCGCATATTGTATATTGTATATCCCCCCCCCCCCCCCCCACTGCGCCCGTGGACATATCCCCCATTTCGACAACTGAGATCGGATAATGGTCGATCGATCGATAGCCCCGTCCTGGAAGTTTGAACCCCGGGCAGTTTGGCCCACGTTTTGCAGACATTTTTCTTTTGGCCCGTCTATAATTTGCAGCGACGGGCCAATTGTTTTTGAGGAGTTGGCCAAATAAAATGCATTTCTGCAGCACGTCCGATCCCCTCACACCCCCCTTGCCGAACGCCCCTGGCTGGGCAGCATTTGTGGCCTTTTGTCTGCCATATAATTTGCACAAATTGCAATTTAGAGAAATAAAGGGAATCGCAAAACAAGAAAATACATGAAAACAAAAATCAAGAAATATACAAATATTTTCTGGTTCCCTATTTATGTAAGAAAGTTCATTTTTTATCTAAAGCACCCTCTTTTAAAAACTTTTTGTAACTTAAAAATATTTAATTCACTTAAAATTATTGTCTAACAATTTTTTAAATTGCTTGGAAATGTTGGATCTCATAAAATTACCCTTGTTATAGGGCATAAGTCTTAAAAATTATTTATTAACATTTTAGGTAAGATATTGGAATTAAATAAATTGGAATAATAAATGAAGTATATCATTTATTAATATACATTTTATAAACTATATATAGTTTGTAACTATTAAATTCGGTATTGTTCCACAAACGCATTAAATCCAATAATATTGAATTTCAAGAGATTTTCAATATATTTTTTGGGATATGGTAGCTCATTTTCAGTTCGTTGTGGCCAATGTCTTGGGGCTGACAACCCCTATAAAGAGGCAAACCTGCTATAACCCAGATCGCTGGGTCTGGAACGCGATGTGGACTTGGATGGTGATGGTGATGGTGGATGGATGTCGATGTCGATGGCACTGCTAACCGCTCGTCAGCGAGTGGGAAACATAGAAATCACGTTTCGGCCATCAACGCTGCAAATGCAACAATTTTGAAATGCTGCCAACGGAGGTTGGAGTTTGGAGTTATGAATTGGTCGAGGATTGAGGATGGAGGTTGGAGGATGGAGGACCGCTGCAATATTTCTTCATTGTATTGATTATCGGTTGTAATGCTGCAAATTAAATGCCTCCGCCATCAATCAGACAATCAAACCATCAAACCATCAAACCATCGTTCCCCAACTCGAAACTCGAATTGAATCGAATGAAATGAAATAAAAGGCCAGACAGACCATAGTTTGGCGTTAGCAGCCCTGTAATTTTCCATATTTTTCGAGCATTTTTATATGAGAAAACTTAGCAAAACATAAATTGGCCGGACATGTTTCGGGGCTCTGGGCAGCGATTACCCGACTACGATGAGGAATTTATGCGAAAATTAAATGGCCCAAATTGCTGGGGGGAATCGCCAATTGCCAATTGGCGATCGGGCATTATTTTGACCCCCCTCCCCGTCCCTGCAGTTCCTGCACTTTGGTTTTTCCATCTGCTCTGACATCGTTTCCCATTGCCATGGAGTCTAGGTCTAATCGCGGCCAGATCTGCGCCCGATAAAAATTAATTATGAATGGGAGATCTGCACGCGGAGGTTGCTGCGATGGATGCTCGGCACTCTAATTGAAAATGCAAACAGCCAAAACAACAATTATGCTGGTTAGGCCACCTTTCTGGGCCAGAAGATACCTAGTTTACAGATTTTAGCCATCTTTACCCATGTTGATTAGCCTTGTTATGTAGAACTAGAACTAAAATGATGGAAAAAAATACTTAAAATGAATTTATTATTAACATTATAGTAAGTTATTATAGAAACATATGTACAAGTGTAAAATAATATGTACTGATTAAAATAGGAATAATAGAATGGTATTTTATTTTGGTAACGTAAAATCCCACGTTATGAGTAATATTTATAATATTTGTTCTGCTTTTGAGCAATATATCCCCCAACTAGAACTGCAGGGTATTGAAAACCGCAAAGACTGGAATATCGGCCAAGACGATGACGCTGCAGCAGATGAGACTCAGTCGTGGATTGTTTGGTGAAACTTTGTGCAACAATTAGCAGTTGCAGGTTGCAGGTTGCTAGTTGCTGGTTGCTGGTTGTTGGTTGATGTGGCTAGTTGCTAGTTGCAAACGAGATTTACTTAGTGGAGCAGCAGGTGGAGATGATCGTAATGAAGCACTTAAATGAATTTAATTGTGTGAAAACCTCGGAGACAATGCCAGTGAACGAATAAGCGAATGAGTGCCAGCGCAATCACTCACTTACTCGCACAAGTTTGCTTTGAACAAGATTTGTGAAATTTATATTTATTTGGAAATTGAGCTGGAATTGTATAATCCATGCACTTATTGTGTTGGCTAGTAATTCACTTGCTGCTTCATTGGGCCCTTAAAAATAACCCATTTGGCCACTTGAAACTCCCACTGCAACCACTTGAATAATCACTCATTTATTTAACCATTCAAGTACTCACTCATTCACTCATTTGCTGCCTCAATCGCTCACTCAGTCACCCTTTCAATCAGCCAAATAACCCGCTCCCAAGCGACGAACCGTTAAAGAAGCGCCGCAACAAATCCGCCAACCTTCAATTGGGGTGGCTAGATACACTGGAAAAAATTTTAGAATATTCATAATTTAACTTAACTGTTATATTATTTTAATGCAAAATAAAGATTAAGGAAAAGCTTATTTTAAACCTTACAATCATCATATTTACAAAAAGGTATACAGCGAGTCTATTTAGATTTAGATGACATTTTTTAGGGTGTACGCAAACTGGCGACAACCCCTAGCAATTACCAACCCATCGACCCTGACCTGAATGTTTTTTTTTTCTCAGTTAGTTTTTCATGTTGAGATACAATCGCTGCGATAAGATCGCCCAGCGAAATGTAAATTACCACAAAAAGTGCAATTGCAGGCAGGGGATTTCTGTTTCGATTTTGATGTCGAAGGGGTGAGGGACACCAGATACCACACAACATATACCATATACCATATAACATATATAAGTACACACACCAGATGGCAGATGCCTATCAAGCGGCGGATTTGTTCTAGCAGCCGCTCAAATCAACTGGAGAACCTGGGGAACTCCTGAGGACCGGAGGTATCCAGTAACACGGCTGGTGGCCACAAAGGTGTGATCTCGCCCAGCGGGCGATCCTTTGGATGCAGAACGCGTGCCCCGTCTGATTAGCGCAAAATGTTAATTTCACACTTTGATCGCATTTCCACGACTGCGCCCAAGATGCGTTAATTTAATTTCGATTTAATTTGCGCTTCCATTTCATTCCGCTCCTCAGTTGCCAGTTGCCAGTTGCGAGTCCATCAATCATTTAGCTCCCATCTCCATCGCCGTCCCCGACTCCAGTTTCATATCCAGCGGATCCACAGATATACAGATCCAAGAAGCGGTTTCATTAACAGCCGCTCGTCAAGTGGTTTTTCGGGCTCATTGTTGCATTTTGTCCTACGATCGCCGACGGCGCAGCCTTCAAAGGCATTCCACTGGCCAGTCGCTTTATCTGCATTCATCAGTCGCCAAACAAAACAAGTCAACTGGCTTCATTTGTAATGGATCTCCATCTCCATCTCCAGCTCCAGCTCCATCCGCGGATCCACTGGGATCCTGAGCCGCCGATGGATCTGCGGATGGAGCTGCCCAAGTTGGAGGCGGCAGCGCAGTAGTCAGGGCCCTGATTGCCTGGCATTAATCATCCAGAGTCGGCGAATGGAGTTGGGAGTGGATCACCAAAAGTACACTCGAAAAATGGCAGAGAAAACCCTTTAAAGTAAGAAAATATCGCAGAAAGGGTCCAGACTTCACTTTTAAACAAAAATTCTTAAGTTATCAGGATCAAAACGTTTGCTTTTATATTTTTAGACCATTTTAAAGACAGATATTATTAAGTATTCCTTAATCTTTGCTCTATATGTTGTCATTCACATTTAGTTTGGTTACCCAAATTTGTTTTTCTGGCGTATAACAATGAGAATCTGAAAGTGGTAAACATTTTGTGAAGTGAATAGCATTAATCCACAAATTAATATTAGTTTTCCCCAGTGTATCCTTAACAGTTTAGGCCGCAAAACTGTTTCCAGCTACTTACAACACGAACAAATCTCATTGTTGTAATTGTTGTTGCGGCTTCCAGATCGCTTGGGTTATGTTATCGGCGGTTCGGCGGTTCGGCTTTCATAATGATCTCGAGCTCCCCGTGTAAATCGATCGCAGCTCATTAGACACTTGGCAATCGAACGAAGGGCTTTGCGGTCTGGCGGGAATTGCGAATTTTTATGTAATCAAGCGCTTAAACATTTACTATTAACAAATTTACAATAAATTATAACATTTTGCGGCCGCCAATGAGGGAAATCGGAGAGCGTTAGGATCGATGATGATGATCTAGTGAGGGCGGCTTGGGTTGTTCGGTTTGGTTGGGTTGGTTGGGTTGGTTTCGTTGGGAACTGCGGCTAGGCAATCGAGCTAAATGGCTTGGTTGGGCAAGTTATATGTGCTGCCTGTATATCAATTGCAATTACTGGTGGCTGCTTTGGGCGCAACTGTACTTGTTTTGGCTTTATGGTGATAGGAGTCATTGAGTATTTTCTTATCGCAAAGTAAATAAATTGTATATAAAAAAGGGTTTGGATTACTCAAAGTTTTAAATTAAAATGTAATGATAACACCATTTAGGTTTTAAAATGTTGTTATGGAAGAACAAAAACTCGTATTTATGCCCAAGAGCAAAGCTGGATAAGCTCCAAAAACTGTACACTTCCATTAAAGCGCGAAAATACCGAAATTACAGGCTAGGCCTCAAATCCATTTATCCGCTATATTAATTGTCTTGGACCTACTGCATTTACCTCACACTTTGCGGCTGTTTCCTTTGACTTTTGCCGGCCAACCATGCCACCCAACGCCCAACTAATTGCATTTTGATTCGGATTGATCATAGATCTGTGGCAGCTTCAGGGTGGCAGCCTCTGTGGCAGTGGCCCAAATGCATACATGCCAACATTATTCATGGCTAAGCTGCGTTGGCGGCCAGGCCCAGGAAAAGCGATGCTATCGGAGTGCCAGAGGAACTCCAATAACTCCCAGAACTGCGGCCAACAAAGCCAGCGAAGCCACGAATGCACAGTAGCCACATTCGGCTAAAAGATTCTGATAAAAAACAAACGCAGGCCGGCAGCTGCCGAAGTCGAACTCGAAGTCGATTCCAGATGCCCGGCCAAACGGAGAGATGCCCCTCTTCATTAATAACTCTTGCATTGATCATTAATTTCACCACGATTCATTAATCGTCGCCCAGCACACGGACCACTGCGCTATGCTCTTGGCCAAGAAGTTGAGGGTTAAGAGTTAAGGCCAGTAGCCGTCGATGGTACAAAATGTGTGCAATTGCATTTGGGGGGAGGGCACGAGCCCAAGCCGATGGCGCAGAGCGATTGCGTTCAATTAGTGGCGGGAAAATTATGAAAAGTAGCCATACTTTTATAGCCTTACAAAAAATATCACAGCAAAACTGATCTAAATCCTGATTTTGAGCCATAAAAGATCAGTGTTTTGGCTGGCAAATCGAGAAAAATTGTCACAATGAGGAATGCCATACCTCGTTGAGCTCGTTATTTCAATTACAATACATTGGCATTCAAACCTGAAAATTTTTAATTTTTGACATATTTTTAAAAAAAAAACGTGATGTAAAAAACAAAAAATGCAAAAATTGGTGAAAAAATTAATTTTGCGGAAAGTGATGGAAATCGATAGCTTACGATGTTAGCTGCTCGAAACAGTCGGTCTCTTAGCTGTATGCCTTGAATTGGTGAACAAATAAATAAAAATAAAGTAGTTTTGTCTATCCCGATTTTAGGCAAAAAAACAACAATAACCCTAGATCCGCCACTGACCTTACCTTCACCTACAGCAGCCGCTTTGAAATCATAACACCCCGGGATTTGCATTCGCAACCTTTCGAAACCCAATTAGCGGTCGACATTGCCGATTCTGATTGTATTTTGCAGCCGCATAATTGCATGAGCCCCGCTCAAAGGTGCAACATGGAAGGGGGACTTCGGGTATTGGATACGGACTCATATCCCCATCCATATCCACCCAAAACCAGAGGCGGCCCCGCATATTCCGTAGATATTCCTTTATGCAAATGCCCAGCGCCATCGTCTCCGGTGCCGACAGTAACGGTGCTGAACATGCAAACTACCAGCCGTGAAAAATCTCGTTTTCAAATATTTTACACAGCATTTTTTGTGCCTGCCTAAACATGGACCAGAGTCCTTCTCGTCTGCACCCCTCTCAAAAAATCGGGCCTATATAGAGCCAGTCCAGCAGCACGTGTGTGTTTTTTGAGGGGGGGAGGATGAAAAGGAGATCCGAAACCCAGTCGGTCACAAGCCACTAAACAGCGCCCATCCAATGCCAATTCCCCATGGGCAAAACCATTTGAAAATTTCGTTTAGCGTCGCCAGGACAAACAAGGCAAATAACAAAAACAACAAAAAAAAAAAAAGAAAATATAAAACGAAATCAAAGCGAAATCGAAACAGGATAAATAAATGTGCACATTTCCGCTTGGCGCGCATATCCTGTCCACGCTTCCTCGACCGACCCATCCTCCCCCGAAGCGCTATCTTTTATATATATTATTGATCTGCCGCGCATAAAAAGCCCATTTAAAAACGGCAAAAAGAGGGAAACATCGAGAAAAAAGGCGAAAATAAAGCGGAACAACCCACCCCACGAAATGTCCTCGCAAAAAAGGAGCAGGATTGTGTAGAAAAATTGTCATCGGCGAGACTTGAAATTGTAAAATTGGCCATTTTAGCTTTTTGGTTACGCTGGGCAATGGCTGATGATTCGTGGGGTGAGGGGGGGGTGTCCTGGTATATCCTGCCGATTGGCTAGACTATTTTCGGGGGGCATTTCTGGCTGCCTGGGGATTCTCTCTATAACAGAATTTGACTGCATTGAAGCAGAACGTAGCCGCTGAGCGGCTGGAAAAAATCGTTGGCAAATGAACGAATCGAACGAGACGCTTTTTGGCGATACCCTGTAATTGTACCCAAGGGAAGTATAATACTCACCGGAAAAAGGAAACGGAAATGGGTAATACTCTGGAAAATAAATATTCTTATTTTCAAGAAACATCATAAGTAATTACAGGTTAGAAATACATATAGACAATAATACTAAAATTCATTTACGTAGTAACATTTTAAAACATATAACAAATAAATAACATAAGATATTTTTAAAAGTTGTCAAGTATAAGTATTTTATTTGTAGTATTATATTTAAAATGCTTGAAAAAAAATTTACATAATCCAAAAACTTAGACTTTTTTAATAATAATTATAATATTAAGTATATCTACCCCAATTCGTCCTAGTCTCATTGACCCTTAGTAAAACATAATTTTAGACAAATTCACGAGCCGTTGCACTTTTAAAAACCGTTTGCTCATTGCCATTTTCATTTTAATTTCACGTACAATTTTCCCTTTTTTCCAACAGTTTCCCCCTACCAATTCGCCCAGCTCCTTTAATGTTCTCTTTTTTCCGATGGATTTTCTTTTTACAGCATTTTAGTCTCTTTTATTCCTCGTCGATTTCCATTAAAATTCAATTGATGTGCCATAGATATAGGTTGTGGAAAATTCGGGTGAGGGCGAAACGGAAGTGCCCAGTCAACTATTCGTGTAGATATGTGTGTTTGCATCGGTTGTGATTTATCGAACATTAGAGTAACATTCAAAATACAATTTCTGGTTAAGTGCTTGGCAAAGCAGAGAGAGTGGAGTATTTTAGCAGCAATTCATGTGGGATTTTGTCAATATTCCATGAGGAGGGTGGCGAACAGCACACAGAAACTTTGTCACAGCAACCAGCAGAGAAAAAATGGGAAAAATCTAAACAACCTTAAAGAAAATTGAATTTAAAACTTAAAATGTCTAAGTACTTGCAGTTTTAAATGCATTGTACTTAAGAATAAAGAATCTGCAAGTAAGTGGTATTTTTTTGAAAATCTGTTATATATTTTTAAAACTTTTTTAAAATATATTTTAAAATTGTAAAAATTGAGTTTTTAAGGACATACAGTAGTATTATAAGTATAAGTAGTATTTTATTTTTATACTGTTCTTCAGATCTGGTATTTATTTTGAAAACTTTTTAAAATATCTATTAAAATTGTTCGAATTTTAAAAATATATATTTTTTGCGATTAATTAATAGTTACTATGCTAATTCCCCGAATTTTTTCCTGTGCACACATGTGGCCGACAAAGTCTGCCGAAAAACGGAACTTTATAAAGCCATCAAAATGCGATTAACCCTTGCTCCGAATCTCTCCTTACCCTGTGATATTTCCGATCCGCGGGTGATTACAAGATTTCCGCTTTCGGGCTGCCGTTGCCCAAATTAAAACAAAAGTCGAACCTAAACGGAAGTCATTTTCGGGCCGTGAATAATGAAATCATTTTTTCCGTAAGTAGTGTAACACGATAATTTCCAAACTAATTTGCTTTCGAAATAAAAAAATGGAAAAAAACAGGAAAAAAAAATAGAAAAACGAGATGAAACGGGAAGGGGAAGCGTTTGCATTTGCTTTTGCGTTGGCAGCATCTGCATCACAATGGGAATTAAGGTAGCGCACAAACTAATTAAAGCAGATAAAGAGTCGCATTAAAACAATAGATAAAATAAGACTAGGGGGTGCATGCATAATTGGGACTGGGTTTCAGTTTGAGTCGAGTTCAGTTCGGTTTT